TTATATTTTACACCGGGTTATATCAGTTTAATTCGAAGATGCTTTTTTCAATTTGTTAAAGTTTATGCTCCTTTATAATACTTTACAATTCATGAGCCTATTAATTGCATGTCCACCTTTTGCTCATATTTTCTGAATTTGGCTTGTCATATTTATTATTTTTTCAACATTCCCTACGCAACTTTTCATCGTTGCTTGATTTGTGCAAAGATAAAAAAAAAAGGAACTCTTGTCGGTATTTGAGTATGTCAGTTATATAAGGAAACACTCAAAAAACTACTTGTTGGTACAAATTAAAGTTCTTTCAGGTTTTCTTAATATTATAGCCTATCTGTCTGTCCTCAAATCCCGAAACGCGTGTATGTATTTTACTGATGTATGTGTTTTACTGATGAATCAAAAATACAAAATGCGTGAGCATGACATAATTAAACAACGACTTTTAATGCAACATAGACCAAAGAAACTGGGAAACGTTTTACAAAAGAACTTATGACTTAATATGTGTTCATATGGCGAGGAATTTACTCATGATTATATTTACTCATAAGCAAATTTGCTCCTGTGTGCAAAAGTAAATTTACCACACGATTATTTAATTTCATATTTTCTTTTATTGTCCTAAAGTTAACCCACTGTGCTCTCTTTTAGAAGATTGGATATTTGAAAAAAACTGGAAAAATAATAAAATTTTATGTTTGCACAGTTATACTTAGTTCTTCTAAAGAAGACACACTTATTAATCTTATATTACTACTTATTAAACAGTACGTTTTTCAACAATCAAGAAAAAACCAAAATAAAACTATTCAAAAAATTATTAAATACTTATATGTGTATTATGAATTTGAAGAAAAATTGTATAAAATTGACAATGAACTTCATGTGAATAAAAGAAGATGGATTAACTGGAAGCAGATATTTGAAAGCATAAACATATAGATAAATTTATGTCATCTACATTATTATTTTAGTATATTTTGTGTATTCATATTTTTTTGGTATTTCATGTATATTCATAAAAAAAAATCTGTATGTAAGCCTTCCAGTCGTGGTGTGTCTGTGTTTGTGTATGTGTATTTATGTTTGTTTATGTCTAAAGTCAATAAAAAAAAGTGAGATATCACAATTCTAATTCAAGGAAGAGTGGGAATGAAATTACAGAGGTCGTACACTTTGTCTCCACAATATCTTCCTACTGTAATATAGGGATTTTATCATAATCTGTCTCTAAACGTCAAATTTCATTCTCTATATCTCAATACTTAATTATATATTAAATAATAGAAATATAGTACAGTATATTTATAACTTTATAATTGTTGTTGTGCTTGTTTTGGATCATCTTTTAAAGTCATATAAAATTATGGCGTATTTTTTATAAGTTCAGACTAACTAAAATTTAAAATATCTTTCTATCTTTTTAATTACTTTATACCGGGATAGGACTTTCCTGTAGTTTACACAATTTAAATCAATCTCGTTTCAAAGATATTAGAAATTTAAAACAATAACCGATTTTTTTACCGACTCCGCATTTAATTAACAGACACAGTTTACAATCAATTTACCTATGGAAACATGAGGTTATTCAAGTTCAAAATCGGTGAAAATTTTAATTTGAACGTAAATAACATATATCATGTTTATCTACACTAAGTCTCGTATTTTTATTCTTTAAGCTCAGATACGCCATATATAGCTTTAACATTCTACAAAGAAGTATACATTATGTTAACTATTATAACAGATAAAAAACAACATACATACTGATTATGTTAATAACAAAATCGATTTGACTACGTCTGCAGGTTTTTAAACACCAAACAACAATAAACGGTAACAAACCGAAAGTAGATATTTTTCCAGATTTGCAGGAAGTTCACTCGTACATGTACACCTGAATTATTAAGGTAAATTTTTCTTCATGTTCGTCATATGCATATTTTTTGTGAGTTTAATAATGTGTTTTCCCGATCTTTTTTTGGTGAAAACGATCCTGAAAAAACACAAACTTCATTAGTTTCGTTTTTCTGTACGGAAATATATTTTATGACTGGGTGAACTAAATGTAATGCCTTGCAGTTTAACCTATATAAAACAGGTATAAAAATGATTAAATATAGTGGTATGCAGGAATTTCATAACGGGGGGGGGGGGCAGTAGAAGGCAGGGGGTCTGGGGGGCTGCATTGACGCCCCCATTGGGTCTGGGGCAAAGCCCTGGTGGGGGTCCGGGCGAAAGATTTTTTTTCCTTGATTTTAGGATAATGGACATATAAGTACTACATACAAAAAATTCAAACGGAGGGGGGGGGGGGGCGCCGGTGTAAAGACGAATAATGACCCCGATAGAAAATGTCCAGGGGGTCATATTTCAACGACAAAAAATGACCCCCCAGCCGTAGAAAAAAATAATTTTTTGTAGAAAAAGAGACCTAGGGGTCATTATTATATGTGTCCGTCCTATAAAAAATTGAACCCCGTTGAAAAATGACCCCCTTTCCAACAGAGTGCATAATACAAAATTTTTAACGGGTGATTGATGCCAAGGTTTGAACCTCAATGTTTGATATTCTTCTTTATGCTCTTTTTGACCAACACTGGACGAACGCGCAATTAAAATGCAATAAAACCGCATTACATTTACCTGCATATTTCTATCTTTTAAGCCTATTGTGTTCTCAGCACATATTGAAAATCGCAAAATGGCTACTATTGGTTTTAACTGTTAACGTAATTTCCCTTTATGACTGTCTTCCATTTGCTTCATATTTGGATATTTGACTGATTAAAGACATTCATAGCTAAATAATAGACAAACGGGATGATCTGGCTTTTCATTGGTAAACATGTCTCCCAAAGGAATCAGCATGCTTTGAGTAGGATCAACTTTTTTTTTGAAAAATGAAGGGGAAAAAAATGAGATAAGTTTTCAGAAATAAATACGGAAAGTTTTGCAATGTAATATATATGCATATTTTGAATGACATAAAAAGTCGTGCAAATGAGGTAGAATGTATCGAAAATGACGTAATAACTCGTGCGAATGACATACTGTGGATATATATGTTTCTTAATTTAAAAAATGGTGAAGATAACGAACAGTGATGATTTTAAGATATCCACAAGCAGTACAATTTTGTTAACAGGGCATAAAAAAGGACCCCCGAAAATTGCAGAGGTGGGATCAGGTGCCTAGAAAAAGTAAGCATCTCCTGATGTCCCGTCACACCCGCCGTGAGTGCTCTGAATAAATCAGGTAAAAGGGACATTCCGTTGTCGAATTTAGTATAAAAACAGGGGCCAAACAATTGACCCGATGATAGGTTATATTTGTTGACAGGGTCATTGATACGACCATTGAATCTACGAAATGCTGACTTTAAACGAGGTTGTTGAAACCCCTGTAGTATCAACTTACATGTATCTGTCAATAGCCTGCTTCGATTTAAAAATTAATCGTGCTCTTGGGTATCGAATAAGTTGGTAGACGTAAACATTATATGCAAATGATTGCAGAATATCACTTCATAAATAAGGAAAATTGACAATAGAAAAGGCTGAAGTCATTTGTTTGTCAGACAATTTAGTTGTTTGTTGGTCTTTATCGTCTATAGTCAGTAGAACGTTCATATAGGAAGCAGGTGTGACAAATATAAGAAGGACATAAAATTTCTGCATGTCTGAAATATATACAATCTTATAATGTGCATTCAATTTTATTTATAAACAGTGGTCTACTCTATGGGAATTTCTTTTCAAGTATATAGAAGTAATACAGGAGAATCTCAGTATAATGTACATTCAAGTCTGTTAAAATTTCTGTATTTACCATCAACATATGTAAGTCGACCAAGCGCTTTTAAGTTAAATTTATTTTCATGTAAAAAGGTATCTGTCATCAATAACCTTTGTAAATTTATCAATATAATTAATAAGAGAGTCACCCTTCCAGGTTAATGTAAACTGTACACTCTTGCATCATGTATTTTGTTTGATATCGTTGTTCTATTTTATATATGTTGTTTTATACAACGTGAGAATAAACTGAATTGAATTGAATCATATATAACAATCCAAAAAAAAAAAAATGGTCGTCTGAGAATAGGATACATACATGTAAGAGGAATATTTTTTAATCCACTTTAAAACAGTGATACATTTGTCAAATCAATATGGAAATATTTTCAATACAGTGTTTATTGAGGTAGATTAATGTTTTCAATTTATAATAAAAGACAGACTATTTTATTGAACTTCAAGGTGAACACATGTATAAGGATTTATTTTTCCTACATTGAACTAAAAATAGATTGAAAACAATTCTGAAAAATTATTTCACCTGCATCTGAATTCTACTCAAGTGAACATAGTATTCAAGCACAAAGAATCGGAGAAGAGGGAGGTATTGTTCACCCTTTTCTGAATGTAAATTTTAGCAATTTCTAATTTGAAAATGTTCATTGAAAGTCTTGAAACCAACCCTCTTTCTTATACAGTATAGTTAAAAAATCTCTCCTACTTGAGTGAACAAGATGAACATAACATTCAGGCACATAGAATCAGGGATGGGGTGTCCACCCCCTTCCATTTCCAAGAACGTATTTTTTTTTCTCTTGAAAATGGTCTTTGCAAGTCTGGTTGTCCTGCCCCCAACTTTTGGATACAGTAGAGTAAAAGAAAATCCCACTTTTTTTGAGGGATTCTTCAAAGATATTTTTAAATACAAGTATTTTTTGCCTATCATAATGCACCATTTCCCCTTTCAATGCTTTGCCTGACATTTATTTTTTCTACATTGCACCAAAACCAGATTTCAAATGCAAAATTAATACTGGTTATGCTTATGTTAACACCTATTCTTTCACTGTGTTTGGTTAGGACTTGAGCAAATGTAAACAAGAAACTTGACATGTCTGCTTAATCAGTTTGTATCAATTTAATCGTTGATTCATATAATAAAACAATTACTGCTGTTTTTTTTTTCTGTCAGGACGATCAGTGATTTTCAAATAATCGAAAAACTATGCTCTCCTCGCCCTTTGGACTCGATAAATCTTTACCTCCACTAGATTCTGAATCACTGAATTGACCTTAAAAACAGCAATAATTGTATAATGTAATGAGATCAATATATCATCGATTTATTCCCAATGAAGATCAAGTGAGCATTTTGGCCAACAGGTCTCTTGATTTATTATTTTTATTTTGCCCCCTAAAAGATTCAACTTTAATCCGCTTTAATTCACAAGGGGTCATTATTCTACGGGGGTCATTTTTCTTCACGTGGGGTATGCATGTTTTTAGGGTGATCACACTTTTTCTACGGGCAAAAGGGTCATTTTTCGACGTCGAATAATGACCGGGGGTCATTTTTCGCCGTTGAATAATGACCGAGGGTCATTATTCGACGTCGAAAAATGATCCCCGGTCATTATTCTATGGGAGTCATTATTTCGTCTTTACACCGGCCTTTGATCCGCCTTTGGTATGACAAAATGAAATCTGGATTAATAAAAGAATGGTAAAAAAAAATGTGAATTAACATTTTTCACCGAATTCGAAAAGCTGTAATGCTACATACATGTATGAAATATCTTCCTTCAAAAGAGAAGAAAAAAAAGTTGTGAGTTGTCTTCTTTGATTATTGCACACTGTTAGAAATATAGATCTACTGTCTAGCCTGAGAGTTATCCCCCTTTCCCTTAAAATGACATGCATTTGATCCAACAATTGAAACACGGGATGTTGTCTACACACATTATTTTCATTGATCTTATTCAGAATACATGTATACAAGTTAAAAAACTTGCTTTCGATGTCGATGGAATTCTCACGGCGCTGTCCTACACTACACGGTCATTGAGAATTGAAGTGAGATACAGTTATATGGACATCAGTTTTATTAGAGGATCGTTACCGATACAGATTGTAATGATTTGTAATGAATTAATTTAATTTATAAAACACATTTTACAACTCTTAAACTAACACAACTGCCGTAAGTGAAGAAATATTATTATAGAAAGCACAATGAAATTCACTTTTATAAGGATACCCACTTCCGGAATCTGTCTCCTAGCAGTACAGGTCTTTTAACTTGCCTAGATGGCCAGGCGGTCTAGCGCTCTGTTCCTGTACTGCTAGGAGACAGATTCCGTAGGTCGAGAGTTCAACCCCGGTTTACAATGTGTATCGGTAACCATCCTCTAATAAAACTAATGTCGAAATAAATGTATCTCACTTCCATTCTCAATGACTGTGTAGTGTAGGATAGATAGAACGTTCTATCGTTAAAATGATATTGTCCTACGGACCCGGTTTAACGATAGAATTCGTTCCGTGTATTGGCAATGTTGCAAAATAAACACGGGCGATAACTCGAACTCTGTGCATTTTCTATGAATATTCCAGAGAGTTCCGAATGTCAACATGGCGTTAAATTTGAAGCGAGGAAAAAACGTTGAGAAAATGAGTTGAATTTTCGTATTTATATGGATTATTTTTCTTTTAGGTTAAAAGGCATATACAATCTCAAAAAGGTTTGTTATGATTAATTTGGTAGTTATTTTCAGTGCAACTCCTTTTGTATTCTTCAAAATCATTTCGGAGTGGATCCACTCCGATTTGCTACATTGCAAGTATATGGGACGTATTCTAACTGTGGTGAGGGCTTTTCCCGAGACACAGTTAGATTATTCTAACTAAGTGTAGGACAGCGCCGCGAGAATTCCATCGACATCGAAAGCAAGTTTTTTATAACTTGCATAGATGGCCGCGCAGTCTAGCGCGCTGTTCCTGTACTGCTAGGAAACAGATTCCCCAGGTCGAGAGTTCAACCCCGGTTTGGGGCGGAAGTGGATATCCTTATAAAAGTGAATTTCCTCGTGCTTTCTGTATTAAAATTTCTTCTCTCAGGGCAGTTGTGTTAGTTTGAGTTGTTGTAAAATGTGTTTTATATATATATATATATATATATATATATATATATATATATATATATATATATATATATATATATATATATATATATATATATATATATATATATATATATATATATATATATAAAAGATCTGTCCATCTGCAGTTTGTACAGATTCACCAACAAAGTATTGGAATGATTCGTTAATTAGGTTAGACGATTTACTGCTACAGAGAGTTAAATTCGGGGAGTTGGCAAGATTCAAGTACCCCAAGAGCAAGCCCTTTTTTTCGAGGCGAAGTCACAATTTTATATACTCAAAAATTAGTAGAGGTATAATAAGATTACAATGTATTTCATTCAGAAATTTACGACATTTCATTTACATTGCCATACTAAAACACGGAAGGAATTTTAGACTTAATGCATGAAGAAACAACTTTTCTCTCTTTCCAATTTAAAATACACTGTAAATAAAAAGGACAGAATCTACAATTTTACAATGCTATAATACATTGTACAAATAAGGAAGAGCAAACTTTCTTCATCTTTTTCAATTATAAAGTTCTAATCATATGTAATGAAGTAATCATTGGTTGTAATTGAGACTTAATGTCTGACTGTTCCCCTAAATACACGTATTTTCATAGATTTCAAATTCGTAACAATCTACCGACTTCCCGTTAAGTTCAAAGTTTTGAACATATCTTGCGGAAGATGAATATGTACCTTGCACTGTGTCGCCCGGTAAGGAATGGCACGAGCTAAATTCGGAATCAAAGTTACATTCGAATTCCTTCCTTTGATCAGACCTTTTATTTTTCCTCACCATGGTGATTATTACCAACACAAAAATTAAAATGAAAGTGAAAATAATGGATCCTCCAATAATAATGATTGATTGAAATTTTTCCATGAAAGAACTTTCCTCTTCTTGTGAAGTTGTGTTCCACACGACGATAGTTTTCGGGATTTCTGAAAGAGACATTTAATTCGTCGGAATAATTTAGACATCGTTTTAATCATACTAGTACTGCATTTTTTATTCACATATCTGTATGTGTATGTATCTGTTTTTAATACCTGTGCCTAATTGACATCCAGTAATATGATTACAAGCTGTCTCGGTACAGTTACACCAAGATTGACATCTTTCTCCATAGTTAGGAAACCTGCAGGGATCTAAACATGTCCTGCCATAATATCCGAAATTACAATCTATAAAAAAAAATTAATCGAATATTTATTTGCATCAAATATCAGACCCGAGTCATGGACCGAAGCAAATAATGGATTGTTAAATTCATAGGAATTGCTAATTTACGGAAGCCGGTTGGTGCCAGGTAGAAATTTTATTTTATCTGGCGGCCGCCAGATAAAAAGATCTGGCGGCCGCCAGATAAGTTATCTTATATAAGTTACAAGTTAGCCGCCAGAAATTATGTGGCGGCCGCCAGATAAGTTATCTGGCGGCCGCCAAATAACTTATCTGGCGGCCGCCAGATCTTTTTATCTGGCGGCCGCCAGAAAATTATTTGGCGGCCGCCAGATAACTTTCTGGCGGCCGCCAAATAACTTTCTGGCGGCCGCCAGATAACTTATCTGGCGGCCGCCAGATCTTTTTATCTGGCAGCCGCCAGAAAATTATTTGGCGGCCGCCAGATAACTTTCTGGCGGCCGCCAGTTGTTTATCTGGCGACCGCCAGATAATTATTTGGCGGCCGCCAGAAAGTTATCTGGCGGCCGCCAGATAAAATATTTTTTCTACCTGGCACCAACCGGCTTCCGTACTAATTTCTACAGAGGATGTAAATTGTATTCATCATTTCAAAAGAATCGACCTATAGGAGAGAACAATTTCAAAGTCACATTTCAAAATCAATGTTCATTAGTTATTATTTTCTACAGTGTATATGTCTAAATTTTCAAGTTTGCATTTAGAACTTGAAAAATCTATACTAAAAGGGGAAAAAACGCAGAGTAAACTTTTGAAGTGATTTAATGTTTTTTTTCGAACGTATTTTCCAGTATTGCTATCTAACATTTAAACTCATCTTTCATCAACAAGTAAGCAAAATCTCATTTGATTTTGACCGATATTTCATGAGTTATTGAAACTCAAATGAAAGTGCCCCCCAAAACTGAAAATCGAAAATTATCATTATCTCCTTTGCATCCCATGCGCATCTGTCACAGCCATAATTCTCCTCTGCATGGAGTTCATAAGTGCATTTGTCTTTTCAAAGGGATATTATTCAACCCTTTCGACAAGGCAGCGCTTAGTTGGTCGAGAGTCGCTGGGATATTCCGACGCCTTTTAATCCTACCGTCCAATTAGTTCCAAAGATGTTCGACTGAAGAAAAAAAATGATTGTGCGGACACCAGTCGATTGGGTTAATGTAAATGTTTGCGAGAAAGTATTGGCAGACTCTGGCTTTAGTGGGCCGTGGGTGAACAAGCTGAAAAATTAGGCATAATGCACACACGCGCGCGAGTGAGAGGAACATTGATACAAAGTTGTTGAGCTCACAAACCAATATCGCCTGATGGTTTTTTTTTTAGTTTTGGGGTGAATGTAACGATTATGACTGCCTACTGTATTAATAGTGGTTTCAGTGGTCGTAAATTGCGATTACAAGGATGTCAGAATGAATAGCCCAATCTTGACGTGGCGTTGTTAAGCGCCAAATTCATCGTCACGGTTGATTGGAAACCTTTCAGGTCCCTTTCTGACGACGGATAAGACGTTATCTGGTGAAAAAAAAATCACAACAAATTGCATAGAACCTGTTTTTCCCTTTTCTTTACTTAGGCAATTCAATAGCCAGACCCCATTGAACTTCCGACAGCCATACCATAATTATAAAAAAATTAAATTGTCTTTAAATACCGAAAAACGACGTGTATATCTTCAGTGCATCAAGTGGTATTACAAAATGTGTTGACAAACCTGTCACCATCAATAAGCACGTGTTTTTGGCTTTTTACCATTTTCCGTGCGTGACGTCATACGTTTCACGGTTGAGTAATTCTGAACACCGATTTGAGTGCACTGTTACCAAGATACCCCTTTGATCAGTTTTCGTAAATTTCGGCCCTGCTTTTCGCATATTATGTTACCCTGTGTTTCTTTTTCCTTTCAGTATCTTTGTAAATATATTCATGTTAGGCACTTGATCTTTCACTTGGCGAAATTTACATTCAGTTGTAAATATCGAGAAATCAACTCAAAGCGTTATCACAAAGAAAACAGTTGGAAATGTAAGTAATAGGCTTTCACCTCAAAACAGCAAAACAAATATTGCTGCTTTTCAGATCAAACGAGAGATTTTGCTACCTGAGGAACTCAATATTCAAGATCTAGGTTAATATTGTACTTCGATGGTGTAAATTGACAAAATAAAATTATTTAATATCATGATTTAATTATACAAAATCGTGAAGAAAATCTCGCAAGGTTTCTTTGTGTTTTAAATAATAGGTCTCTTGAAATCGAAAGCAGTGAGGACCTTGGGAGTTTATTGAACAACAAAAATTATCAAAAAAAAAAAAAACAAAAACAAAAACAAAAAAAAAAACAAACAAACAAACAAACAAAAAAAACAATACATTTAAGAGTTCCAGATCTTTTACTATAATTATTGGTCCACTGTTTAAAATCGAATCTCATGTTCACCTTGAAGGTCAGGTGTATTTAATTATAGCTTGAGTTGCTTTCTCAAATAATATAGGATTTCCACCAATCAGTGAGCCAGGAGTCATAATTAAATAAAAAGATTTGATAATATTTTTTGTGATCGACCTCTTGAAGATAATTATTTCTATCCCATTTAGAAAATGATATTAGAAATTCAATTAAAAACATAAAAGTAAAAATAGTGCACATACACATTTCATTTTCAACTTTATTGTCTCATGAATGGATAATTATTTCACACTGCATTTGATTTCAATTTAAAATCGTAATTATGATTTAAATGTGTTTCTTCATTTTTATCTTCTATATACAGACCTGAACTATTTCGACATCCCTTTGTTGTGTCACAAAAGTTCTGGGTACAGTTGCATTTTTCTTGGCATCTTTCCCCATAGTTTGGATATCTGCAGGGACTAGCACAATTTTGGCCGAAAAAACCTATTTTACAACCTAATAAACAAACCTTTTAAATTGTTTTTGTTATCTTTTTAATTGAAGACATATTTTGATAAGACATCAAGCAAAATGAATAACAGTAAATTGAAAAATACCTGTACATATATTTAAATCTTTATTCCAGTAGAAACCAGGGAGACAGCAATTCTTATTGCTACTAAAAAAGGTTTAATTTTAACAGTAATACATTGTATATAATTAACAGCATGGTCCATAAAAATTATTATTGTATTTAATTATCGTTAGAGATTATGTCAAATTATAGTTACCTTGGACAAGTTGAATATACAGTTGCAATAGAATTGTATAAAATCACAAGAAAGATGTTTTCACTACCCTCCATTTTTTATAGAGATTTTGACAAGGAAGGAAAATTATTACGTCGTTTTGCCAATAACTATTTTATACTGATTTCCTGCTATGCTTGTTATGGAAACAAAGGATGCTTTTGTGAACAATACATGTAGCTATTTAAAAAAAAAGAAGATATTCTTTACATATATTCACATTTGTCAATGTCTTTCTTTATATGACAATACTAACGATATTGGCACTCAATTTTTGATAACATGAGGTTGGTCACGTTATCAGACTTTCTTGCGTATGGAAAGCAAACCGCACGAGACTTTTAGAAGGTTTAGACTGTGACGTCACATGTCATCTTACTTGTATGTTATTTTGCACTTCCATAAAGTCTAAATAGTGCATTTTTTTCATGAAACACGTATAAAAATATAAATATAAGAAATAAGATATCATTTTTAGAGTTTCATTTGGATATGTCATGAAGTTGGTACGTGATCATAGGATTTGATCACGTGACCACCCTCGTGTCATATCCCAGTGAAACTCTAAAAAAATAATATCTTATTTCTTAAATGAACTTGTATCCTCTGCCCTAAGTCTAAATAACAATTTCGGACAGTAGGCTACGACAAATTTAATTTAGAACTTGCGCCTACAGGAATATTCCCTCACTGTGGCTGAGGGGTTACATGTTGTAAACCTTTTATAGGAAAAGAAATTTGAAGATGATATTTTGTATTTCATTTTCAAGTCTTTATTTTTTGTTTCAGCTAAATTAAAAAAATTAAACCAATCTTTATCGATCGAAATGCTTGATTGAATACTTATTTTCATAACTGGAATTGTCCTGACAAAATAATTTAGGAAATTAATATTCAACTGAATATTGTTATCGAAGTGTCTATTTCGTACATGTTTCTTGTTTAAGCGAGGCTCCATCTTTTACCAAAAGCTTGGTGCACTTCATGACGGCATTCTAGTAAATCAAAGTTTAGAAATATATCTACTGTAGTACTGCATTTACATTTGTTATCGCAATGCCGTCCTAATTCTGATTTGTACAACTAATCAGATATCTTTCCCTTGAAAATATACCCATTTGTAGACTTCAGTGGAATATTAGATTACCAGTTCAAAAGAGTTAAATTTGTATTTCTTGTCAGTGTAATTCTGTAGCAAGCCATTCTGGTGCATATTCCGACTAAATATAAATTAAAATGTTGCAAAAACCACATAATTCCAACTATTCCTCAGTATTACATGTACTTTTGCTTTACCTTTCATTATTATTTCGTCTTTAGCATCATCAGTTTTCCAAAATATGGAAAGAAGGAAGGGAAAATATATGCGCTTACATTTCCTAGTTTTAATCATTCAGGTAAGACATTGTATTGTACACTAACGTTACGGTGTATTTCTGTCGGGTATACTAATAAACATTTAGACCACTTTTTTGCATCTGAAATCAGTGTTGAAAAATGCAATCCTTAAATGGTCTTTAAAAACTTTTAGTTACCCCTGTGTGTGTATGAGTGTGTGCATGAGAGTGCGTATGTATTTTAGAATTACCTTTATATTAATGCAATAACTATTTTAATAGCTAAGTAACACATTTTGCTTTTTTTTGCTATAATCCTGCAAAAGAACACCATCTCTTGTCCTCTTTCAATAAATTAAAAAAACCCTATAAAATAGTTTGCCATGTAATGCCCCGTTTCATTTTGAAATTCGAAAAGTACTATTTATTATAGAATTTTAAAAGGTACACAATATAAACCTTAGAAATAAACCAATTTTGTAAAATTAAAAAAGCTTAAATTTATTTAAATACCTTAAAATTTCAGATCTTTGATAACGTTTTAAGCTGTCCTGCATCAATACCTACTATATCCTATGTACCTTATTGTCCGAGAAGTCAAGAAGAGTGGGAGAAGGCAGCCCAAAGGAAGAATTGTGAGAGTATTGCAGTAATTCAGAACTGCACAACTCAGAATAATTTCAAGTATCACTGTTTAATGAATCACTGGAAAAATGCTACACTGGAAGTATGTGCACCCATTTTTACTTACAAGGTAAGTCTTTGTCAACCCAATATTATGTTTTATATGCTTAAGTACAAGTTTTAAATATAAATACGTCAATACGAAAGAGTGAAGACAAAGCAAATTTTGATTACTAAGACAATTCATAATACTTATACACTTTTTAGGATATTGTGCCGAATACAACATACAAATAAAACAAGTGGCAGAAATTTATGATGAAGGATTCGAATGTCTGAAGTTTCCTGACACACACAAATGTCCGCGAAGATATCCGTCCACTGACGCCTACAAATGTAAAGTAAATTGTTAAGTAAAATGTGCATTTAAATAGGGAGAAATACAAGTACATTACATTTATTCACATAAAATATTTCTTTCTCTAGATCAACGGTGCTATAGAAACATAATAAAAAATTTGTCTACTAAGAAATTTACTAATAGGTAAACAATTTATCTTACTTAAATTTTGTCATTTTCTTCTGTGGTATACATTATGTTATAGTACAGACGATAAACTTGTAAATAATATTAAGTTCCTATATTTCAAATATGAAGGGAGAGAAAGAGAGAGAGTCATTCTATATTTTTTGTTGCAGTTCTAAAGACAACAGTGTGATTCCACTTGTGTTTATTTTAATCGTTTTACTTCTAATTGGTATCGTTACTTCCGTGGTTATGATGTTAAATAAAGGAATATGTGATAAACTCACTAAAGGTAAACAATATAGTTTGTATGAGTTGAAAATGTTGTCCAAAATTATCTGAAAACAGTTTGGTTATAATGGTGATAAACTTTATTTTGAACTTCTCGAATTGTGCATGGTCTAGGACCCGCCTCTGACCATATCGTTATGTTTGAGTTCTTGACGATTCTCAAAATAATCTTTTACGCTTTTTAGTGCTCTTGGGAAAGGGATATGATAGACTTATCAAAGTTTAAATATTTTCCAAGAGTTTTTAAAGTTTCACCATTTGTTATCTTCACCTTTTCTTTAAAAAATGTGTACTAGAATGATTTTACTCCTGCATCAAAAATACATTGCTCAAATGACAATAGGTAAAGCTTCCAATGCATCTTTTACATCCCCCTGTTGTAATAAGAATGAAAATTTTATATCGTTTACTTAAAAAATTATGAGGTTTAAAGTTGTAGACGGAAAAAGAGATAAAAGGGGATAGAGACAATTCAAGGAGACAGTATGACAGACGAGCAGCAATTCATTTCAGACCTTTTTAAAGAGTAAATTCTTAAGCATTGAATTATTATTTTTAGATGTTGTCAATCCTTTAACACATCTGTTCGTGCTGACAAATTAAATACCAATCTCTATCATCGGCTCATACATTCGTTGGCTCGCGCATATCACAGTGATAAGCACGAGAAAAAGTGCGTTTGTTTTTATTCATTATAATTAAATTCCTGCACTAATGTTTGTCTTTTAAGGAAGATATGTACTAAGTAGATCTAGAAATATTAGTTTAATTTGAAATGATCCTAGGGATATAATATTTTTAACCTTATGTCAAAAATCTTGACTCGAGCCAATTGCCGAGGTGTCTGAGAGAATTACGAACGACAACTCTGCATAGGAGATTGATTGAATACGCGCGTTACATGTAGAGCGATATGATAATTTGTTGGCACGGCCAGGTGTGTTCAATTCAATGCTTATACATGTATTTACATTCTCTAATTTTTCCCTTCATAATTTTTTATTTCGTTAATCTTTAATATGAATTTAGCGCCTTCCAGAACTGGTGTGGCTAAAGCTATATATGGCGTATCTGAGCTAAAAAAAAAAAAATACGAGATTGAGTGTAGATAAACATGATGTATGTTATTAACGTTCAAATTAAAATTTTCACCGATTTTGAACTTGAATAATTTCATTTTTTTCTTAGTAAAATTGATCGGTTATTGTTTTTAATTTCTAATACCTTGATTAAAATTGTGTAATTTACAGGAAAGTCCTATCTTTATATAAAGTAATTAAACAAGTAGAAAGATCTTTTTAATTTTAGTTGGTCTGAACTTATAAAAAAAAATCCGGCGTACATGACTTTAATAGACGTAAGAGCCGTTTGTGACGTTGGAAAGTTAAATAACGCAAATGACTATGAGAGGAAAAAAGATTACAAATCAATTTTAAACTCACAGTTGTTGTAATTTTACGTTAATTTAACAGAGTAGTTGTTTTTTTTTTTATTTAATTGAGTCAAAACAATATATATTTTTGTGTTCCTAGAGTATAGAAAATGCATATAGTTCCTACTGTCTATTCTACCGCGTGGTGACAAGGTTTTGTGTGTGTTATAGAGATTTGAACGTCCTGGATTTCAAATGGATTTCATAAAGAAAATTACACTGAATTTTAAATTTTAAAGATCAATCTTTTAGATTCATATTCTCCTGACAGTTAACACATTTGCCTTAAATTTACTTTCACCCAGGGAAAAATTTCTATAATACAATTGACATAATTTTATCTGCAGTCTGTCAACAGACCAATAAGAAAACGGAACAGAATAAAAAAGGTAAGTCACAATGCCTGGAAAAGTAAAATTAAAAAAAAAAGTTTAATGATTATTTAAGGATATTTGTCTCAACATAAATGCAAATTGTGAAATTCATATTCTTGCATCTACTAGTATATTGAAATATCCTTGAATGTCTTTATTATATGGGCAGTTATTTGCGTGTTTAAAAGAAATTATTGCTCGGCCAAAATAATGAAATATTCCATTTTCCAGACTCCAGGTCAAAAGTTGGATCATAATATTGAAAATTATCTTCGCACTGATAGAAGTAAATCAGATACCAAATATGTCTCATTCTCAGCCTGTGTCCAGATTTTAGGTTTCTTATTTGGGCTAGCAGGATAAGATATTGAAACTGAGTAGTAGGATTAAAATAATGTATTTTTTGATGCATGACAAAAGAAATATTTTATAATAATAATCAAAAGTTAGCCATCTATTTTTGCAAAATGAAATTCAAGATTATTGGGTCCATGATTCTGAACCAAGAGTCGGGTTGATTTGGCTACGTATTGAAAAGTCATTAATATGATGTCTAGCATGAAAACTGTAAAATATGATAAATAGTAACACTGTAGCAAAATAATGAAACTCTTGGACTTTGGTTTCAGGGTTTTTGCAAAAGGATGGTGTTAAACGTTAATTTCACCATTGATTAGAAAGTTTATTATACATATAGTTTGAAAATTTTCTTTCTAACTCCTGGAAATTAAGCAAATAAATAGTATACATAATGTCAATGAGCTACATGCTTTTTGTCAAAATTGATTCCAGAAATCCAGAAATATCAATGGGCTAAATTGGTTATATATGAAAGCTTCCTAAAATTGTATAGATTCAAGTTTGTTTAAAACATGCCCCTAGGTAAAAGATGGGGCTACAAAAGTGGAACGATTGATTGGTTGATTGTATGTTGTTTAACGTTCCATTCGAGAATTTTTCACTCATATACAGATGTCACCGTATACCGGTGAAGGGCTTCAAATTTGACTTACACTCGGCACTCAGGGCTATTGAGCAGTGAAGGTTCGTTATCGTGCCAACGCCTACCATGACACGGGACAACGGTTTTTAAGGTCTCATCCGAAAGACCCGTGACTTTCACATATAATACTTGCCGCTTGGCGAAGGTACAGTCACTACCTATGTTTACGCCTCAGGTTTGACGCTGCGCGGCGAACGAGAATCGAACCCGGGCCTCTCGAGCTCGATCACGAAGCGAACACCCTACCATTTAGCAACCGTGACCGGTTCAGTAGTGGATTGAAGTTTTATGGAAATATATGAGTGAAAAATGATTTAACATCTTCTTCTCAAGAACAAGAGGGTCACGATTAGTGATATTAGGATGCAGTCATCTTCAGATATAAATTTGTTCAAAACATGGTCACTAGGGTAGGCCTAGGGTGAGGCCACACACAAAGAATCAAAGGTTTACATGGGAATGTTTAGGAAAAAAAGTGTTTAAAAATTTTCTTCTCAAGAACAGCATGACCATGATCAGTAATACAAGACTTTAAGCATTCCCAACTAGTGCAGATTCAAGTTTATGGCCCTGGGCATAGTGCGGGCTACATATAGGAAATCAGTCTTACATGAGAATATATAAGGAAACCATAAAATCTTCTTCTCATGAACAACAAGTCCATTATTAGAGATATTAATATGCAAGCACTCTCAGGAAATGCAGCTTCAAGTTTGTTCTTTTCATATCGTGGCTACAGGGTTTAGGGTGGGGCTACAATAGGGATATATATTTAAAAAGAAACTAAGAAGGATTTAATTTTTTAAAACATTGTTTTAAAAGATAGCAGGGCCACCTTGAACCACATTCATGTTGAAAAATTCTAAAGTTTTATGGATAATTTTTTTTCTGTAGTTAATAGATCCTTGGGTAAGATTAATGCTAAAATCAGGTATCAAATTTCACCTAGTCCATGTTTACTTCTCTGCAGAACAGTAAGATTACGTTAGTCATAATGATATTGAAGCATCCCAAAGATATAGTGATTTAAGTTAGGTTATGTTGTGACTTTTAGGAGATACATGTACATTGTAGGGTCGGGTTACAATGTGGGCTAAAATATACGTGTAAAAAAACTGGAAATTATTTCTAAATATTATGATGACAAACAGGAGAGTCAAGGAGACTGAGGTGAGCGTTGCGGCCCATGGACCTCTTGTATGAGAAGCAGTTTTCTATTATATCCACTTTAATGGTGAAAATTAGGCCCCCCCCCCCCCCTGGGTCTACGACTCCAAGATGGTCATACCTCAAAGTTTGTTTGTTACCAATTAGATATATTTTCAGTATATATCGTCAATTTAGCCCAAAATTTAGAACCTAAATCCGCGACTTCGGGGATATGAATTTCACTTTGATAAAGACTTAATTGCTCATTGTCATAACTAATATAGTTTGTTTTCCCATGTCAAAGAGAAAAGACGAACATTTCCTAAAATACTATACAATTATTGTATTTGAGGACTATACCTACAGTTGTCAAAACGAATGTCTTCTACCAAAATTGTAAATTTACGTGACATTGTCTGGATTTTTAGTCTCATGTGTATCTAGAAAGAACATGTGTTAATAATCTATGGTAATCATGTAGTCTATAGGCCTTACGTGTTATGTAGTTAAAAATTAATTAGCATACTTTCATATAAGTTGTATGCATTTAAACAGATGAAACTGGAGAAGAAACTGGTCTTCTTACAGTAGACAGAAATGTCAAAGGTAAAATTTTGAGAAACTGATATTATTGTTCTTAAGCACTATATATGCTATGAAAATTATTTAGAACAGCTCAGTAACACAGGCATGACAGCAATATGCATATTGAGATATTTTCTTAACCACATTTTGATGATGCGTAAGTTCTGTTAAATAGATATGGTTCAATATTTTGCGTACATTTTAAGTAGACACCGATGTACTTTGGCAATGAGTTAATAAAAATATTAATAAAATAAATATGTCATAAAGTCAATCTAGAAAAAAAAAATTGTTTTGCTTTTTTGTAGTTGTGAAATTGTTTAAATCATCCATTTATTGAAAAAAAGTTTCTTGTTTCATTAATTTTAACATAGATAACTCAGTAGCTCAAGGACAGTTTATATCATCAACAGATCATTTTTATCTTCGTCTGCTTTTGATTTTATTTTAGATGCTCAGACACTGATACAAGAACTTCATCTTCATAAAAGGTCCAGTGGAAGAAGTTACTGACCCACCGGTTTAAAAAGTCAAAACTTTGAAAAGCCACTCGAAATGTTAATGAAATATTTTTGAGTTTCGTTTTAACGGTAATACAGTCGGTCATCTTTTTGTGTTTGTATTAAATGTAAGTTCTGGTGAATCGGACTACTTATTACCGATATAGTAGGAAAGAAAAAAAGTCAAGCTAATCTAACATGAAATTTCATTTTTGGTTTAAATGTGACATAAAAGTAAAATAAAGGTGATGGGTGTATTTATCAAATCAAGTAACTGGAAGAGGCATGTAAAAAAAAAGTGAAGAAGTTTGGTTAATAGTTGATCAGAGAATTACCAAAGCTTAAAAAAAGATAAGAAAAGAGGGAAACAATTTCAAGACAAAAGTAATTACGAAATCGGTAAATCAAGAGAAGAAAGATCAATATAAAATTAGGTACACGTATTCCATATTAATATACGTTCCACATTCATAAACATGCATAATATATTGTAATCCATTGCCCATCATATGTCAAAAAAATGCTTAAGAGAGATATTGTGTGATATACAATGTATAATAAATAATACATATACATAATAAAGCAATAAAAACAAATGTTAGGTGCCAAGATATATATCAGAGTATAGCTTCCGAAAAAAGCTAAATGTTAGAAGAATAAATCTCATTCCTATTGCTATCAGAAATTCTGTTGTAGTCTGTAAAGTTCATCACTTTAGGTTTAACCTAAATTGTTATTTCTAAATGCTCGAAATCGACTTATACATTGCTTATTGCAGATTCCCTATTAATCAAACAACAGATATTATTTTGCTTGTTTAATTTGGCGCTTTTGACCGCGGTGATCAATTTGCTGGGGCTACCACAGGGCTGCCCCACAATCAACAATCAATACAACAAATGTGACGACCCAAATCGGGCGGATCATGCACTGGGTAGGTCACAAGTGCATGAACGTCACCAATTCAATTATCAATCAAGTTCAATCAATCAATTTCAATCAATCAATCATCAATCAATCAATCAATCAATTCAATATCAATCAAGTCAACTGCTTGTCAATTACAAGCCAATGCACAAATTCAAATCCTGAATTTCAATTTACATGTGCAATAGGATAAACAATGGAATGAGCGTAAGAATATGTGTTGCACTCCTCCAGTTGCGTTGAGGTGTGATATCGATGGAATACGCAAACTCACAGAATTACCACCGCGACACCGGTTGAAGTGGACGCTGTACCCAGCAGGCAGTCGTCACGGAATACGCAAACACACAGAATTCACCACCTTCACATAGGCTGATGTGGACGCTGGATCAATCAGGCTGTATTTACGGAATACGCAAACACACAAAATTCACCATCGCCACATAGGCTGATGTAGGTGCTGGACCAAGCAAGCTGTCCTTACCGAATATGCGAACACACATAATCCACCACCGCGACATAGGCTGTTGTGGAAGCTGGACGAAGCAGGCAGTCTTCAGCTACAATGACATAACAAAAAGCAGCAGTATTTGTTCTAAAAACAAGAGAAGGGTGGGTGGGTAAAATTTTAAACATTGCCACAATTTAACTCCCAAAAATTTTCCTTGACCTTACCGTTTAATCGATTCTTCGAGAAAGGAGGTAGAAGAAAACTTATTATTAGACTATATACGAATGGATCTAAATTATCCGGAATGATAGCTTGTGACTAAGGGTGAAAATTTATATTTATCCGAATGTACGTAACTTATCCGGAATAGATAAATATTATCAGAGTTACTGAAATAAACTCACTTATCCGAGACCAAGCTCGTACATGTATAAGTGGTATTATTTGTACCACAAAAATGTATTTTGATAACTGACTGAGAAAGTAATAACCATTACTAATGAATTATTTTTCATGCAAATTTCAAAGAAGAAAATCAATAAGATGCCGTTTTACGTGCACAAAAATGGACGCCCTCATCTTTCCCAGTCATATCGATATCGTTGGGCATAACTACAGCACTTCTGTGAAACACCCTTTCATCAAAATGAGATATAAATTTTAAAAAACTTTAAAAGAAATATATCTTATAAAAAAGATACTTATAGAAGTCCACATGTATAGGAGAGACTAAATTGTTTCAACTTTCGGCTGCCATTGATATTTCTTGCATTTGTAATGGTTATTCTTATAAATTTCATTTTAAAAGATTTAAATTCAAATCATAGTATTTTTTTCATAATTACTCTTGATTACACCATTGTTATTATTGTGTATGAATACTACATTTCCGGAGTACCTTGTTAGTAGAGCGCGTCGTATTCGGAAGGATGTGAAGCTAATCCTGACTTGGTCGGACTTTCGGGTAAATAGAGACTCTGAATACAAATAAACATAGAATGACGTCAGAGGAGTTCAGGGAAAATGAACAATGGTCGTGAGTCAAAGATGGTTTGAATATTTTCTTTCAATTCAATATTTCGTTTACAAGTTTCAAGCAAAGTCACATATATTACAGTCAAATTTGAGTGGAGATGAAACTACATCTGCCACTTTGAATATAATCTTGTCTCATTGAAACATCTATGTAAATCAGCCTGGGAGATCCTGTAGCTTTCATAAAAAAATGCCTGTTATGATAAGGTGTACTTTATGTATAATACAAATTTTAAACTCTTAAAAAAAGACAAATACGTCCAAGAAAGTTTAATTTACCTAATTGCCTCAACAAAATCTAAGGTTTGTTTTTAGATAAAATAAACATACATTAAACTGGTAACAAGAGTTATTAAAACGTTTGAAAATTTAGCTAATGTATTCATAAGAAAAGAATATACACTTAACAAAAAAAAAGTACAAAAGTACTAAATATATATTCTGACAAATGAAATAGAAATAGAATGATTGCAGATATCAATGATGAGATTCACGGAACGTTTCATTATAAACAGTAGTTGGAATACCTACATGGTGAAGAATAGTTACTAGCATAAAACCCTCTTCTTCACACTGTCAATGAAAATGAATTAGCTTTAGTTATAAATATATTTTCATGCACGTATTCTATCACGTAATAAGTAAAAAATATGATAAACACTTATCCGCTGAATGGGATACCTCTTTTATCAAACCCGCAACAAGAACTATTCCCGAGGCTTGCCCGAGGAAAATAGTTCATTATACTAATGTATATTAAAAATTCTGAGGGTTTGATAGCACATTTTATACCACTAGGGTTTAGTTTAGAAACAGTATTCAAAATCAAATTCTTTTTCTTCAGTTTACATGAAAAATTAGACTCCCAATTCAACAAATATAAGCAAATGCACTGCAAAAATATTTTTCAAACGAACTTTGCGTAAATCTGCCACCCTAAATCTATAAATATTTACCAAAAGTTTTTTTTAGCTCACCTGAGCTGAAAGCTCAAGTAAGGTTTTATGATCATCCGTTGTCCATCGTCCGTCCATCTGTCCGTCCGTTTGTAAATTTTTCACATTTTCAACTTCTTCTCAAGAACCACTGGGCCAATTTTAGCCAAACTTGGTACAAAGCATCGTTAAGTAAAGGGGAGTTTAAATTGTAAAAATGAAAGGCCAAGCCCGGTCCAAGAGGAGATAATCAAGAAAAGACAAAAATAGGACGGGGTCATTAGAAAATCTTCTTCTTAAGAACCACTCGGCCAGAAAAGCTGAAACTTATGTGGAAGCATCCTAGATTCTAAATTGTTCAAATCATGATCCCCAGGGGTAGGGCGGGGCCACAATAGGGAATCCAAGTTTTACACTAAAATATGTAGAAAATATCTTTAAAAATCTTCTTCTCAAGAACCATTAGGCCAGAAAAGCTGAAACGTATGTGGAAGCATCCTGAGGTAGTGTAGATTCTAAATTGTTCAAGTCATGACCCCCGGGGGTTGGACAGGGCCATAATAGGGAATCCAAGTCTTATATTGAAATATGTAGAAAATATCTTCAAAACTCTTCTTCTCAAGAACCACTGGGCCAGAAAAGCTGAAACTTATGTGGAAGCATCCTTGGGTAGTGTAAATTCTAAATTGTTCAAATCATGACCCCAGGAGTATGGCGGGGCCACAATAGGGAATCCAAGTTTTACATTGAAATATATAGGAAAAATCTTCTTATTAAGAACCAATGTGCCAAAAAAGCTGAAACGTATGTGGAAGCATCCTGAAGTAGTGTGGATTGTTAATTGTTCAAATCTTGACCCCCGGGGATAGAGTGTAGCCACAATAGGGAATGTAAGTTTTACATTGAAATATATAGGAAAAATCTTTTTCTCAAGAACCACTGGGCCTAGAAAAACTTATGTGGAAAAATTCTTGGGTAGTGTACATTCTAAATTGTTCAAATCCTGACTCCCGGGGGTAGGGCGGGGCCACAATAGGGAATCCAAGTTTAACATTGATATATGTAGAAAATATATGAAAAAAAAATCTTCTCAAGAACCCCTAGGCCAAAAAAGCTGAAACTTTTGTGGAAGCATCCTGCAGTAGTGTGGCCGGATTCTAAATTGTTCAAATCATGT